AGTGCGGAGGGACGGAGGCAGCTCGCCCTGCCCCCGGAGAGGCCCTGCCGGACACTGGGCGGGCGGGGCGGGCCCGGCCGGGGCTCTGTCCCCCCCGCGATCCCCTCCCGGAGGGCCCGGGGTCGCTGTCCCCCCGGTGGGCTCGGGGAGAAGGGCGCTGGGTCAGCGTCCGTGCAGCCCCTCAGAGCCCGCTCTGTCTGTGTGTGCATGTGCAGCAAATCCAGGCCCTCCTGGCTCCCCCCAAGAGCGAAGATGGGGAGAAGAAGAGCAGGAGGCCCGAGAAGGAGCCCAGGCGAAGTGGCAGGGCCACTAACCACGATAGCTGCGATAGCTGCAAGGAAGGAGGGGATCTGCTGTGCTGCGATCACTGCCCCGCCGCTTTCCACCTCCAGTGCTGGTAAGGCTTGGCGCTCTCTCCCTCCGGATCTGCCCAGAGCACCTTCCCTCCGGCCGCTCCCGCTTCCCGTTAGGTCCCGGGGAGGGGGGGGACGTGGGGCCGGCTGGAGCAGACAGGAACAAAAAGGAGGTGCAAACCCCGCTTGGGTCCATCCCTCCTCAGACTTAACCCACGGCGGCCGAGCTGAACCCTCCTCTGGCTGCTTTCTGGAGGGTTGGGGGTCCACCCTCCTCCTTTCTTTTTGTGCTGAGCAGCGGGCGAGAGGCCTGGAGGAGGAGCGAGGCCGCTGGCTGCGCGGCCTGGCTGCCTTGCTGCTGCCCCTGCCCGGCCTTCCGCCCTCCCCAGCGGGAACCTTCCCCACTCCCCCCTCTCCAAGGGTGCCTGGCTTGTGGGAGACCCTCCGGAGGGCCCTGGCTGGAGAGGGGGAAACCCTGGTGGCGTCTCCGCACCAGGCCTGACGTTCCCAGCGCTTCCGTGCTGCTGCAGCTGCTGGGAATAATGGAGGTTGCTGTCTCTGTGTCTCCCTGCCTCACTGTTTACAATATGGCGACCTTCCTTTAAATTATATTTTTATTCTCAGCGCCATTTTGGCTGCATATATGACTTCCAAACCCTCGCAACACTCCCCACAGTATCTCAAACGTGAAAATACCTTCCCCGTGGAAATCCAGGCCTCCAGGCTTTAACGTTGGCCGGGTTTATTCCTTTCCCTCCTTTTTTCTCTTCCTCCTTGCTCTTCCGACCTGCTTGCCTGCTCCGTGGGGGTGTCTGCCGTGAACTGGGGGGCTGCCGGGTGCTCTTGCTGGGAGTTGTGTGGCTTTGTTGATGAAGGCAGAGCTTTCTGCATGCAGATCTGGCTGCCGGCTGGGAATCGAGGTGCGTGTGGAAGCGGTGGCAGAGCTCGAGGTGCTGGAGGCTGCAGCAGGATGGGCTCTTGCTGCCTTCCCTCACAGCTTCCCAAGCTCTCCCCGCACAAAGCGACACCACGCCAAAAGCGCCTCAACTTTCCGCCCCAAAGTTTTTCCTTTTTCTGCACCCGGAGCTTGGATGCATCCTGAAATCCCCCCTTTCAACAGTTGACAGAGGCGGGCGGTTTGTGTTAAATTAGCACTGCCAGAGAGGATAATGGAGTGGAGGAGGGAGCGGGGCAAGTCAAACAGCTGGAGCTTGGGAGTACAGAGTATTCTTCCTTAGGGGAGATTTTTTAACCACATTCCTTTCTCTCTTTCATGCTTTGGAGCTTTGTTTGCCACCCTGTTACAGCTGTCTCCTCTGCGCTTTTTTTCCTCTCTCTGTTGTTTTTTTTTTTTCCTTGCTTTTTTTCTGATTTCCATTTGCTTGCTGGCTATTCTGTATTTCTATGCTAATTGAGGGTCTCAGAACACTTACTAAACTGGTTGCTGATAGCAGGGAAGCTGAGTGTGCGGTCACAGTCCTGTAGGGAGTGTCCCGTTAGCAGCATGTAGCCAGGCAAACCCGACAATGCTGTAGCATGCAGCCATGACATCATCCCTCCTACCCTGAGGAAGTGCTACTGGTGGTAGTGCAGATCCTCTAATATTTCCTAGCAGGATAGTAATTATCATTATTTTTCATCCAGTGTCCTTGATGAGTTTTAATTTAAGGGTGGTTTTTTCCTTCTGCCGGGCGTAGTTGTTTTTGGATGCAGCCAAACGCGTCCTGAGCATTCTCCTAGCGAGGCTGAAACTTCCCATTTTGGGATGGAAGAGCTGTGCCTAAGGCTGCAGAGTTAACTCTGAATCCTAGCTAAGTCTGACCATAAATGACACCACTTTTTGCCTAAATTTCATGGCTTAAGTTGGCGTTGTTTTTGTAGTTAGTGAGTAGGGAACAACCAGGTAAATCAGATACCTGAAAAGCTTTCACTGTACCTGAGCTAGTTGCATTATAATTGTATAAGAATTTATATAAAAATATTGTATAAAAAATACATATATATATCTTTGGCTAACTAGTCACTCTTCAGAACAGAAGTGAAAGAGCAATTCTAAATACTCTCTTTCACTCCATTTGTTGCCTCTTCTGGGGTTTCTCAAGCAATCCCTTTGACAGTAGCCCAGACCCTGCTGTGGGAGGTGGCACAGTGTGGAAAGGCTTTGTCTAAAGGCCTCCAGCTTGGGCCTGGTTCTGCCTCCCTCCTCCTGAACCTTTGTTGGACCCTTGGCTATGGCCTTCAGGTGACCTAGGTTGTCTCAAAGGAATGCTCAGGTTTTGTTTTCATGTGTCTTCCTATTACCTCCTACACTTTGCTGAAAGTAAACTTCCATTCTGGATATAAACTTAGGCATAAAGAAAGGCAGCTCTTGCAACTTCCTTTCTGCCTCCTTTTTTTTTTTTATTTAAAGAATAGTAGCTGTACTGGAAGGCTCGGTTTAAGTCACTTGAATAGCCCTGCTGGAGCACTCTTAACTGATTCGTGTCAACAACTTACCTGTTCTCTGAATATTTATTGTGAGCTTTAGTACCAAGTTGAATTTATTATCAGTATAGCATAACAAAAAAAGTAGCTTTTAATTGGTCTAGGGTATATGAGCAGTTGATTACAACTGTCTGGGAGAGGCCATATTACAAAAGAAAAGGATTTTCAGGGGTATGATTGGCTCAAGTCATGCAGTCAGCTGGAGACAAACCCAGCTCAGCTTCGCAGGAACTCGTGTTGCTCCTTCCTGTGTAGAGAAGGTTCTTCTGTATCAAGATGTTTAAGGCTATAGTGAGTAAGTTGGCTTTGCTAGGTGTGTGACCCTCAAACTTCAGCAGTTTGCCTTAACTTCAGTTTAGCACTTGAACCCGTTGTCCTCTGTGGAAAACAGAAGGCAGAGGCCAAAACTCCGGAAACTTTTGGAGTCTGATAGTATTACACATCTGAGATGGTAAATAACAAGTGTTGTTGGTACACTGTGGAACGACTGCTCTCCTGAATTGACGTGGGTGGAAGTGACTTCCCAATTCATCTGTTGGGGTGTCAGCTTTTCCCACAACTCCATTTTGGAGTCACTAGTTTAGGAAAGCTGCTATGGGTGCTCTGAGAAGCCAGAGGACTCCAGCCTGGCTGGAGATAAACTGGCTTGGTGGGAGGGATACAGGGAAGTGTGAAATCCCTGCCAGATACTTAGTTTCAACATACTTGGATTAATATCACAGTCAGGTGACTCTCTTCAAGTTTGAATTTACAGAGGAAGGTTTTTTGGGTCCCTAGGAATTCTTGAAAACAGGACATGGGATTTTTAGCTCTGAAGTTGTTGTCTTGTTCTGCTATTTGCCCACAATCTGCTGCTTTGGGTAACAGTGCAGAGTGCATTTCCATCCTGATGTTCTGCCTTAGCCCAGGCCCCCAGGAATGGTGCATACTCCTTCTTTACATGATTGAAAACCAATTTTCCAGTGCTACTTCTATTCTTTCCCATTTATATCCTCCTTCTGGCAATGTGATTGTTAGAATTCCCTATGTTTTCTTGAGCTTGTAGTAAACTTGATTCACATTGAAGTGGGTTTGCAAAGTGACTGATGTTGCAAATTCATTACGAAGGATTAGAAAGATCCCCGGGAGAGGAAAAGTTTAGTTAACAAGCTGGGGGAGGGGAGTGACAACAGGAGGGAGAACCAACACAGAACAGTTTTGTGTTTGTTTTTTTTTTTTTCTCCCTCTTTTTGTTTTTTTAAAAAGTCTCCCTGCCTGAGTTTCTGGTTGGAGGAGCCCAAAAGCACAAACCTCGCTGAATGCTGCGGTTCAAGTCCCTGTTGTAAAAATCTCATGCCGCTGGCTGTGCAGCTCTGCTGGCATGGCAGAGTGACCTCAGTCCCTTAAAGCTCACCAGTTACGTAAATGACAGTGCCAGTTTTGTGGCACGGCTCAGCAAAACGTTTCCTTGTAGCTGGGCTTCCTCACTGCTGTGCTGGGAGAAGTGTGTTCTGTCCGTACCAGGGCCTGCTACCTCCATCAAACTTTTTGCAGCACCTCCTTGTGTTTATATTTGCAGTGTTTGGCTCATTTCCCCTCCGATTTGGCAGTCTTCACCCAAGTGCTGGTGTCAAAGAACAGGAGTAACAGAGCTGCAAAGTGCAGCAGAGGAAGCTAAACTAGCATTTTGGTATTTTCTATGAGTCACCTTGTTTTAAGTGCTTCGAACAAAGAATGGAAAAAAGTTGTGTTTGGCTGGTAGGGCATCAATAACTCTTTCCTCACCTTATTCGGTCTAAAATGCCCTGTTGACTTGTTCCAGCTTTGGATTTTTACATGAATATGCCATCTGTGAGTGGAGAAAAACAATGGCCAGTCTGTTGTCTCAGTTAATCCTTCCATTAATGGTCATCTTGGGCCTGCCTCAGGTGTTCCAGGTGAATCTTAGAATGGTCTGAGGCATCTCCTGCTGCAAGGAGTAGCAGGATGTCCAGGAAGATGCTGGAGAGGCAAACTTCTTACCTAATAGTGCCTAGGAACGGGTTTCAGTACATCAAATTACATCACAGCTTCAAAAAAGCTTGTCATTTTAAGTGGAGGAAGCTTTTATTATGAGGCTTTCTGTTTATTTGGGTTTTTTTTTTTAACAGTAAATGATTGGCAAACCTCTACTTTAATGTTTATGTAATTGCATATTGAAGGTCAGAGTAAGCTGTTCTGTTCCCAACATTTAAATGTATCTATCTTCACCGATACTTTGTTAAAACAATATTGGTTTAAGTATGTGCTTTTAAAAAAACCCCGACTTTTGTTTTTATGTATCGCTGGTTCTGATATTTTGGGAGACTTGGGGCCAGCCTAGGCTGGATCCTGAGGCAGGAGGAAGTGATTGCCCTGACTGGGTTTCTGGCAGCAGAGGGTCACTGCGTGTGCGCCTGCAGATGTGGTAACATGATCAGTCTTGGCAGCTCTGCTCAGCAAAGTTGTACCAGTGAGATTTTTCACTCTCCTTATTTTGTCCTAAATCTCTCTGTGCAAAGGCAGATAAGGTCAGCCTAAATCTATGGACTTCAGCTGGGGGCTTCAGCAAATCATTCACAGTACGAATTTGAGGAACTCGTGATTGGGTGACTGGCAAGCCACCACTCTCACCTGGGTGTGGGGATGTTGCTCGTGTTAAACTGCGCATGAGCAGATTTTGCACTGTGGGCAAGAACTGGGGATTTGGATTGAACCGTGGGTCTCTGCTGCAATTCCCAACATCAGTGTGGAGTGATAGGGGCATGGCTTTGGGATTCTAAAGTCGAGGATTCAAAGTTGAGGAGGGGGATGTTTAGCTACTTGACTTAGGCTTTGCCTTCAAGACGTGGCTGCTGCATGGACTGGTGTTTCATCAAACACCTGCTTTGTTCCAAAGCTGTTTAAAATGGCACAGTGGGAGACTGTGAACAAGGAAAATTCTCCGTGGTTTCGTACCTTGGCTTGGGAAAGTGCCAGTTTTATGTTGACCACGACTTGTGGAACTGAGAAATCTTTTTTTTGTGCCACTGTGAGGTCCATTTTTGAGTTGACTCTTCAGGAGCAGGAGGCTGCAGGCTTTGCTTCGAGGTGGGGTTCACTGCTTTGTTCCTGCTGCTCCAGAGCTGGTCTTTCCTGGTATGTAAGCCTGCAGGCATGACTCATGGGAGCCTTTCACAACACAGAAAGGTCTTCCCAGAGGAATTCCAGCTCCTCCAGGCATTTGCAAAGGAAATTCTTAATTGGATTAGATTCATAATACTAATCTGCTAATGACTGTTTGTTATGGAGATCTTGGCACTATCTTGTAAATATATTCACCTTCCTTTAGCTGCCTTATGTCTTTTTATCACATACAAGCTCAGCGTTGTTAAGATTGTACTGCCTTGTACTGCCGCCAGCAGATCTGATAGTTGGGAATGGGCGACTACTGTGTTTATTACACAAGATCTTATAAAGCTCATAATTCTTTCCTCTCTCTCTCTCTCTCCATTTCACGGTGCTGTTTAGGTGGGGTACTAAAAGGGAAGCAGTGGTAATTGGCATGTCTGACATCCGGCTGTACTTCTCTTACCATGGGTGTGAAGGACACCCCGGGTGGGGAGTGCCTCTGTGCAGTTGTCAGTGACAGAACTGTGTATTTTTAGTAAGAATCAGGACCAAACAGGCATTTCGTCCCTCCCAAAAAGGGCCTTTATGGGATGTAGGTGCTGTTGTGGTGGTGTGAGGAACACCTGCAGGAGAGCACTGCTCCTGTGTTTCCCTGTGTAAGATTGAGTCAATTTGGAATTTCAATTGTAACATCGGTACTGAAACAGTTTTTCAACACTAACATAAATTCTTCTATTTATTGACCCACACACCAGTGGATGTTAAACTGCTTTTGTTGCTAGACTGACTCACTGGTATGTGTCAGGTTTTTGAGTTTTTCCTGTGCTCTGCAGCCTTTCTTAATCCTTGAGTCAGTAGCAAATAGCAGGAATCTGTTGTGGAGAAAGGGAGCATTTACTTCCAGAGCAGGAAAGAGGTATATCTCCCTGAAAGCAAGTGTGACAGTCTGAATATTTAGGAAGTGCTGTCTGTTGGAATATAAATTATGTGAGAAGGATGTACCCATTTTGTTTTTTTAAACCACTCAGGAAGTTCTTTTGGACTTGTGAAAATGCAAATGTATCTGGGGATATAACATGGCTTTGTTACAGGGGTATGAAAGAAGTGAGTGCAAGCAAAAAGCATCTTGCCACGTCAGGTTACTGGCTAGACTTGTGATTTTTGTGACACAGATTGTCAGAGCTGGCTTTTCTTTCTTATAGTAATCGATTTGTGCTGTCTCCAGCTCCACTGCTCGCTAGATGTCTGCCCAGCTTCCTCGAAGGAACACTGCAGTATCCAGTAACTCTGTAAGCTGAGTAAAAATAGTGTTGTAGCTTCCCTTTAATAAAGGGGTTGACACATACCAGTTGTAATGCAACCACATACCTTTTTAGGGTATGGAGTAAATGCTTCCTGTAGCCAAAAATGAAGGGGGGGGGAAAGAAAAAAAAAAAAAAGGTTGTATAAATCATTCTTCCTGTTGGTGTAGCAGATCTTGAGCACAAAAGGCAAAGAGCATCTCAGCCAGCTGGGGGGAATCGAGTGCCTGAACCCAACTCTAGCCCATTTCTGCTGACGTCTGCTCTGCATGATCACTGGAAGCAAACTAGATGGAGCTGGAGATTACCGACTTTGAACCCTGCAGAAAGCACTGGCCTGAGGATACAATTTAGCAGGCTGAAAACCCCATGCTGAATTTCTGGCAAGCACTAGTGATTGGTGTGAAACACCTGCCTGTACAGCCTCTGACTTTGGGCACGGCATCATGTGAACTTCCCAGTGATCTCTGTCTAGAATAGCAACAGGAGCAAGATATGAAGGTGATCTGGAAAAGGCAGAAAAGAATGTATGCCCTGCTCTAAGGATTTTTTGTTGGGTTTTTTTTTTTGGTGGATATTTCTGTCTCTGCTCATTTTTCTCTCTTCCCCAGCGTTCTTGGGAAAGCCTAGTCCACATGTAGATGTCAGAATTACACTTCACTTGTGCCTGTGTGAAGACAAAATCATGCTTTTGCTTTTATGGGTCTGCCCTTCATCCTCTTCTGATGTGCTGCTTTCCTTTTTTCCACCTTATTGCTGCTGTCCTTTCACCCCTGTCTCCTTTGAACACATTCAGTATGGCCAGGGCTGAATGTGTTCACTTCTCAGAAACCTCTCAGACCTGTGTTTTGATTATTTTTTTTCCCACCAGAGATGTCTCTTCATTTATTGTTCTTTAAAGACAGAATTGGATGAAGTGATTCTCACCAGGGCTGTGTTGTTCCTCAGCCTCCTTTCTTTTCCCTGATGCTGCCCTATGTGTCATCCTGCTTTGAGAAGATGACTTCTAATCTGTTAAGAAGATGGTGCTATAAAGACCTGAACACTTAATAATGAACCTGGACATTGAATTCAGGCTATTGTTGCTATTGTCTGCAGCACAGGCATGAGTGATGCCTGGGAAAGAAACTGGAGTCAGGATGTGCAAAATGTCTGAATTTCTGTGTCTGACCTACATTTTTCAAAGTCAACAATTCTTCCATCAACTTCCATAGTTTCTGATTATAAATACAGAGCTGGATGGTTCCCTATACGTTTCAAATATCAGAGTTCATAACCAGTCAAACTAATAAAAAAATAAGAATCAAAAACCCTCACTGCAGTTCTGGTGGTACTATACACTCTTTAATGCATATTTATTTTTATATATGTATGTGTTTACCTATATGTGGAAGTTTGGTATCTTAAACACAATACTTCCTTTAATTTTTTGTCAGCTGGACATTAATGAGGGTAATAACTAACAGGTTGTCTAGGGAATGGTCTCTGTGGGCCAGTTCTTTCTATAAATAGAAGTAACTAATTACATCAGGTGATCACATGTTTACATGCAGCTTATCCAGTTTATTGGACCCTCCTGCTCATCAGGTTGGAGGCAAAAGAGTTCTGCTTTGTGCCTTGGTGGATACTTCTTTGCTTCTCCATGAACTTGAGGATTGCCTGTGCATGAGGGAATAGGGAGGAAGCAGGACCCCAGTGAAGGCAGGAAGGGAGCTGAGGTAAGGTAGATAAACACCTGCTTCCATGATGTCCTCTTCCCAGGATGGGATTAGCAGGAGTGGTTTGATGGATTCAAGTAAATTAGTTCACTGGCATTGAAATTCACAGATTACTCACAAAACTTATGATACACTCATTAAATGGTACCTGGTTCTTAGGAGCACAGTGGTGCTGCTGCCAGAGCCTTGGACTGCTGGCCAAGCCCTTGAAATGTTGAACACTGGCAGGTCTAGATAGCAAAAATAAGCACACAGTGAAGGAAATTTTGGGATCTGGCATACCCAGCAAAGCTGCTGCTTAAACCTCGAAGAGCTCAAGTCTTCCTCCACTCTTGTAGCATCATGTAGATAATGTAGTGTACCTTTATTTTTTCACTGGATACATCTTATTCCTTGCTGTCTGCCCATATAATGGTATTTCAATGCTGCTTCTGTTTTCTGTCTGTTGCTGAACCCTTATTTCCAGCTTTGGCCATGCTGTTGGAAAGATGTGCGCTAAGAACATGCAGCGTTCCAGATGAATCTGAAGTTTGGTGGTCTCTGCATTGGTGCTTGAGAAGTATTTGGCTTTTTCAGGAATATTATTGTTGTACAGCTGAGTGTCACAATTTATCCATGTTAATGAACAGAACTTGGAGACTTCACTGAATAATTTGAGGAATAAGAGTGGGGGAGAGGAGGGTGCTGATAGCTTTCCTAATAACCACCTCTGAGGTAACTGAAATCTGACTTGTGTCTTCAGAAGCTTTGTGTTGATGCAAGAGTAAAAGAGGAAGGTAAAGGAGTTGCAGTGGGGAGGAACTCGCCGCGGGCTGCAGCTGTTGGCTTGTTTGGTGTGGTTTTATTCTGTCTAAGGTAGAGGCTCAGGGCTCCAGGTGTCCTCCTCCAGCCGGGTTTGGGAGCAGCTGTGAGCAGAAGTATGTAACTTGGGCACAGTAAAAATGTTCCAAAAAGCTGAATTTGTAAATGATGCAACTTTCCCTGTTTCTCAATGGGGCTCTTGTAATGCCCTGACAGTGAGGTTGGTTTCCTGGTTTGTTTTAGCTGCCATTGAGGCCCTGCTGTAGGAAGCCAGGGAGCCTTGTTCTTTATGAAGCTGGTAGAACAGCTGTAGCTCTATCCATCACAGGGATAAATAGGAGTCCCATAGAAGAGTTGAAAGCCTTCTTCCCTTATCTGGCAAACATATCTAACATCCTTCATTATCATCCTGTCACTGAGTCTTGGTCAGTTAATCAAGTTTCCTGAGAAGGAAAAAATGTGTTTGCCTACATTTTTTCCTGGTGTTACTATTTTTCCTCTGCACAGAAAAAAAAATATTTAAGTCCAATTGTTGAAAACAAGTGACATGAAAGAGAAGTTATTGAAGAAAGCTTCACCAGGGACTGGTTTGTTTTCCTGCCACCATTATCTCAGCTGGTAGCTGGCTGTATCCTGGTGGGTCCAAAAGTAGTGTCAACGTGCCTTTGACGCAAGATGGGCAGGAATGCAGTGTGTAAATAACCTCAGGTCTGCTTATAACTGGTTCCTTTGAGAGCTACGGCCCAGTTTGTATTGGAGAAGGTGCCATTCCTTGGAGCACTTGTTTACCTATTTATTGAGGTCAGCAAAGTGAGGAGTAATTACAGGATTTAGACTTGACAACAGGCTTCTGATGTATGAGAGCTTCAGAGTGTGAAATTGAAAAGCTAAGTGGCTTCATGCTATTGTTTGCTTGATAAAAACTCCTAATATGCTCCTGAAGATTTTTTTTTTTTGTCATAGCCATTTAAGTTTTATTTAAGGGTTAGAGCATTGTGTTTTGGCCATGGCCAAGCAATGCTTGACAATGCATCTGATAGGAATTTCAGGAGATAGTTAACTTTCTGAGAAAAAGCCATGAGACAGATATTATATGGCAAGTGACTTCATAGTCAGTGTAGTGGTTTTTAACTAGGCATTGATAAACATCTCCTTCAATTTTCAGAGGCTTTGTATGAGTTAGCCTTCCAGTTGTTTTTAAGTCAGCCTGTGTTTTTCAGGGGTGTCTTTGTTATAAATGCAGAAACACATTCTGCTGAGCAGGTTTGATTTGGGTCACACCAAACCCCCCAGGTAAGCAGCAAGAGGCCACCACTCTTGTCTGTGATGACAGGAGGGGAAACTTTCTGAATTGAAGGGTTAGTGAAAATGTACTGAAAAGTGCAACTGACTGGTGTGTGGTTGAAAGGAGATGTGTTGTAACCGAAGATAAAGTGGGAGCTGTACAATTCCAGGTCCTGTTGGCAGCAAACACTGGCGGCTGGAGCTGTGCATGCTAATGAGCCCATGAAAGATAGGGAGAAAAGGGCCGTGGTGTTCCTGCCAAAGTGCTAATTCTTACCTTGCTTATGAAGATCAAGTATCTTGCTCAGATTTAAAAATCAGTTTCTTTTATGCTTACAGTAAAAGGTTGAAGAATGTGGTCATACCTAGTCAATTAAAACAGCATTCTTTAGCGCTTCCCTGGCTTTCTGCTGAGACCCAGGCAGTGCTCCCTGCTTGCTGTGAGGCCAGCAGTGCAGGAGCAGCCTTCATCAGTCTTTGTTAGCATGGTGAGCTGCGTTGATGAACAGTTCATTAACCAGGAGAGGCAGAATCAGTCTTTTAATACACTTGCTATTGCAGCTAGGCCCTGACAGTGAGCAGAAAACCTCAGGAGGCTTGTCTGAGCACTAAAACCTTTCTGCTGCTCTGAAACGAATCTTTCCCCCTCCTTCCACAGGCCTTTGGGTAGCAGCATTCATTAAAATGCTTCTTTAATAATATGGTGTATGTAGGATTTCATGGTTCAAACCCAGCAAATGGGACAATAACATACACACTCGCAGAAGAAACCTGTTCTGACTCTTCCAGGCGTCTCTCAAGGTTCACCTTGGTATTAATTGTTTCATTGTAAAATGTGTAAGATTGAGGTAACAGTTAAAACAAATAACCGGAGGCATCTGGCAGCGTGTGGATCCCTGGCACGCCGCACGTCGGAATGGGGCAGACGTGTTCCCAGCAGTTCAGGCATGCTCGTCGGGAGCTTCAGAGGGTGAAATTTCACTAGGAGCAAATCAAAGTCTGTGGTTTTTTTGCCCTGGGGTGTTGGGAGGGGAGAGGGGAATGGGCCACATGAATCCATACTTGCTGTAGATGGAGAATCTAAGAGCTCGTTTTCTAGCAGGAGTAAAACCTGAGCTATTGCAGGATGCATGTTAGGATTCAGCATGGATTTATGCTGCAGCAAGCACACGGGGATCATTTGTTACTCTCCTCCTTCCACCCCGTCCTCACTGCTTCTGTTAGCAAAAGATTAGTTTGGGGCAGGGAGTTACTGCTTCATCCAAGCATTTGAGGTGAAGCAGCCAGTAGTGGAGGCTTTGGTGCTCTCATCTAGAGCCTGATCTCTTGTTCATCCAAGCCCTCCAGGAAATGAGAAACATAAGCTGCAGGTATGTCAGTGCATATATGCAGAGCGCTGCGTTTCTGGAGCGCCTGGAACACGGAGGCCTCTGAAACCCTGCACTCCTCCTCAAAATGGCTGCCAGATGTGTTGGCTCTACTGAATTCCCCAGAGCCTGACACCAGAAATGCTGAGGTTATTACCAGCTTGGTTCTTGCTGTGCTCTTCCTTCAGTCTTGCAGGCACAGTGTTGCAAGAGGGAGTGTGACCCCGGATGGCTGCAGTACCTGCAGAGGCAGTTGCTGGCACACAGGCGAGCTCGGGGCAAGGCTCGCCGGGACTCTGTTTAAACAAAGGAAGTGTGTTTGTTTTCACAGTCCAGGCTCCCAAGCCTGGGCTGGGATCCTGTGCCATTTCCCTGTGCTAGGAGCAAGATTCTCGAGGAAGACAGCCTCTCCCTTTGCTGCAAAGCACAGCTCTTCCTGGCCAGCAAATACGTATCTTATCCTCCCTGGCTTGTCAGGGCTGGAGACTGGAAAGCTTAACTTGGATTTGGTTTGGTATTTGTAGGTGCAATAAACAGTATAGAGACTCCTGCCATGAACCAACATCTAGCTTCCCATGCTTGTGTGGCTTTCTTGGGCCAGTCTTATAAGCTGCTGTACTTCTTGATCCCCTTGTAACCCAGTCAGCCCCAGTGGATCCTTGAAATATGTTTCCCAGTCAGTAGGAAATGGAGCTTCCAGAGCCTGTGGTAGTGCATCTGTGTGTTCAACACAAGAGAGCAGACTTGCTAAGAGCTGCCTCTAGCAAAAGTCAGGAGAACTTTTAAAAGTATTATCTTAAGCCACACTGCATGGTAAATGGCTGGTTTTTGCCAGCAGGTACATTTTCCCTGCCACAGTCAGCAGTTTGCTCAAATAACAAATCTTAATGATAAAGAGGTGTTGGAAAGTACTTGAGTTAGTAGTAGGATCTGTAAGGAAAGTGTGTATCATCTAACATATGCTGCTCTGCCTTTTACTGAGGAAAAGTGTTTCTCAAAATAGTCTTCCTTACTCTAATTTGCTTTGGTTTATTTCTAGCATCAAAATGAGAATGTCATTTCACTGTGATACAGCTTTTATAGTAAGTGCAGATCCCTGTGAGTAGGATGTATCCTGCGCTTCGTAGCCAAGGCAAGCTGGAT